TTAATATATACGTTGGGTAAGGGCAAAACCTGTTATATATAATGAGAAAGATGGAGAAAAGTTATAAGTGTTTCCCTAAATGACCTTCTTCCAGGCATGTGGAACCCCAAAGAAATATTGTCAAGATGGCTTACATCATACTTTCCAGCCAATGTTGAATCCTTGGTGTGTATGATAGAAGCCAGCCTGTGTTAAGGATATCATGAAAGAAACTCTGGACGCACACGTTATTTATTCTGCATGCTGCCGCCATAGGCATGGAGAGCCTCAATCTGGCAGATTGTACAATCATGTCACAATCAGCTTCTGAAACATTGTCCAATCGTATGGTATAAAATCCGACACAGCATGCACAGAATGACCAAGCAACATACATGATAATCACTGAACCGATTTTGTAAAGATCAAGATCGAGATTTTGCATGCCTGGGGCAGCAGCGTGAAAAGACCAAATTGTACCAACTGTGGGCTAGCATGCCATATTGTAACAACCTGATGCATTGCACCTTTCGTGTATTTGACACAGAAGGATGTCTTCAGTGAGTAAAAAGTTGGCTGATAAAATAAAACACGTCCAGATTTTTTTAAACAACCCTTGTGGAATGTGTACACTCATCCTTGTACGTGATTTGGATCCAGGAATGAGGACATTTCATTTCAGTACACTCCTCATTCACAACAAGCAGCCTGTAGATGCAGCTTCTGTATTGGTTCTGTTCACTTTGGCACAAATTGTACAACCATACCAAATTATCCCATCCATTTTTTGTAGTTTAATTCAACCCAACCATAAAGGCCGGAGATTCTCATTAGTTGAAAACTTAAAAGACAAAACCCAAGGTCAAGATTTACAGAACAACCGGGCATCTCACCATTACCATTACCATGGACTAATATCAGAATATGATGTAGACTGTTTCAATACCTGTTGAGTAATGTCACCAGTGATAAGATATCTCTGATATCTCCAGAGAACGGCCTCCAGGTACTAGCTTGCTCTTGTCTCTGTGTCAAACTACTGAAACGAGGGAAACTAAATAAACCCTGTTTGAATTCCAATCTGTATTACTGCACACTCATGGAGGCCACAACTTCAAAATAGGTGCACTTTACAACAAGTTGAAACATCATTGAAAGCAGTGTCAAATCAACAAAGATCGGGGCCCACATCACTGGAGTTTCTCATATAAATATAAATCTTATTATCTTCTTAGTTGTCATTTTTCCATTTCTTTTCAATTGTTGCTTGATGAGCTAGTGTATTTTATTTTTCAAAATACCTTAAATACATGTACACTTCCCCAAAAGTCCTTTTCCTCAAGCTTGTAAGCAGCATTTTAACATATTACATCCCTCTACTTTTTTCAGTTCTTAAGATTTGTTTTCAACCATCTACAGATGCAAGCCTGCAAAACAAAGAGTGTTGATCTGGGGTTATATTTAAACAATCCCACCTGTTTTTCAGCCAAGCAATCTCTTCAATCTGCCTTGAGTAGAAGCACAACTTAATTGGTTGAAAAGAGCCGGTTGGTTGGGAGTATTCATTTTGTTGGTAGCGATTGGGCTACAACCATGTCCTCATCGTTCATGAACCAGTGATGCACAGTTAGTACCAATGGAGCCTCTGATGCCAAGGAAATAGTGTTCTCTCAGTCCAACTAAAGGCCAATACAGGAGATCACAGTCTGTGCAGAAAACATTCCCAAATTATAAACAGTATTAACCATAACCTCCAAGGGTGCACATGGAATCATAATAAAATCAGAGGATTTTGGGGACCATTTTAGCTTTAATAGCTCCCCATATACATGTCACCCAGTATTTGGGCAAAATAAATGTATTCACCAAGCATGATCCTTAGATAGACATAATGAAGTCACACTTTGTTTACACGCCCTATAATACATGTATAAGGCAGTAAGGTGGGGTAGGTCTTAATGTACTAGGTCTACAGGACATGAGGGAAAGTGTTCACAGGAGACTCAATCACTGAATCCTACCTTTGGGATGACCAATAACAAAAGAATCACTCACGTTTTACCAAGAAGGCTACAGTAAGAGATCACAGTACAATCACCTTAACAACAGTGGCCATCATCAAGAAATGCCAATAAGCTGGTCGTCCTGTAAGCAACGACTCATCAGCGGCTTGTGCTCTAGCTGAAATGAATGCACATAACAGTCATTAAAACATGCAAAATGAAAAAATGGCAAGAAAATATGAGTGGAGGAGCCTGTTTGCCGATTCTCAGAGGGCTTTGAAGGATCGGAAAGATGGAGAGAGCTGATTGAGAATTTGTAATTCACGTATGTGCACCCAGCACTGCCGGTGTTTCAGTTTAATTATATACAGCATTTTATGGGGTGGTGCATTACAGGGGTAGCCATAATCCAGTCCCGCCTCCTGCAATGCTGCTTCAAATTTTTATCAAAAGAGGCAGCGGTCGAGAGCCGTAGCCAATGTCCAATACTTGTGCATGCCGTATTCTCACATGGAGACGCCGCACCGTGTGTTGCCAACATAGAGTGCAACATAAACCGTTGAAAACATTTCATGAAGGGGTTTTACTGAAGACATACACGTACCCCACATATATATTTGCAATGGATGTTTGTAATGACACACGTGATGAAGCCAAAAATGCAAATTTTTTTTTAAAATAGATATTGAGCCTCTTCATACAACAGTGTCATTAGAAGTAAGCATCATTCCATGACATAAATAAACTAAATTCTACACTATTCAAACATCAATTGGAATGTGTTGCTGTGACAGAATAAAATCACAGTGCACCTGATTTTAAGTTCATGAATCTGGCTTTAAAAAACTTTTGCAAGCTAATGACCATCCGGATGACGTTTAGTTCAACGCTGGCTTCACATTTGTGTTTCACATTCTTGTGAAAACCACTATTGCAAGAATATCATGATTTGTTTTGCACAAAGATGGGAATAAACAAATTTTCACCGCTAGAAAAAGACTACTGCATATTTGACTACATAAGAACATTCACTAACAAAACAATCCAGCAAATGTCTCATTTCCATCACAAAAGGTAACT